GGTACCTCAAGCTATAGATCTATGCACCATATAATGATTCACTTATTATCTATTAAAAGGCACAGATTGGAAAGTTGATAGCTTGTATGAATATGTGCACACCACCTACCTTAGTCTCAAACTTGGGAGATGCCCCACTCTCCACCAAGAGCTTCACAACATTCAGAAACCCTGCCTTGGCTGCAAAGTGGAGAGAAGTCCATCCATTCTGAAGGAAACAGAAGAAATGTACATGTATATGGGATACATGATTGCACAGTTTGTCAGCGTTCTGTCATTCTTTATTCAAGAAAACAACCTAAATGTAGATTACAGATGGACAACGTAAAACTTCATCCAAGAATGGTTAACTACATTGTAGCATGATGATAGTTCATTACAGCAACCCTTTCCCTCTGACTTTTTTTTGTGTCTTGATGATACAGGCATATGTAGAAATGCTTTTAATTAAGCCAAAATATAAGATTCCCGACTAACCTTATCAAACACATTAATGTCTGACCCTTGACCCAGCAGTAGAGCGACCATGTCCAAGTGCCCGTTGGCCGCGGCCAGGTGCAGGGCCGTGCGGCCGCGCTTGTCCTTGATGTGCAGCTGAGTTGTGGACTTACTCAGCAGCAGGCCAACCACAGATGTGTGGCCATTTGCTGCAGCCAGATGAAGGGGGATTGAACCCTGATGCAGAAGAAAAAGAAATGTTACTTCTTTCATTGTCTGCTAGGCTTCTACTGGATCAATATTTTTGTTAGTTAACTTTCTATATACATCACATGTACATTGGTCATGAATGACTTCTCACACCTTAGCCCTTTCATCCAAACCATTCATTCATTCATTCAAACCAAAGAGCACAGTTTTAGAGGGAAAAAAAACATTGCACACTGAAGTGGGTCCACCATTGGGGTTTTATTTCCCAAACTCATCTGGCCAATTATTCTCCCTATTTGGATACATTTCACTGTGTTTGAACCTGCGTTAGTTTAAAGTGGAGACTAGAGAAGGTGACTGACCTGTACAGCTGTCTGTGCATCAGCCTGGACGCCAGGGTAGTTGAGCAGGACCCTCACGAGGCCCTCGTGTCCAGACTGAGACGCCAGATGGAGCGGGGTAAACCCATACTGCAGGGAGAACATGTGACATTAAAGCTAACAACTTTTTGCAGGGACTTAAGTCCAGTGCCCTAAAGATGTACAAAATGTAGGCACATACTAAATACTGTTGATATTACATAGATGGTGGTCATCATTACTCTAAAGTACAAAAGTTACAGCTAGGAGCAAATAGAAATCCTACTGTACATGAATCACATGTGTGTAGTTCATCACCTCACTTGCAATGACAAAGTACTTCACTAGGGGTCCCCGCTGACTTGTATGCATTCATCTCACAAGTAAAATCATTGGGATTATAAGACAATATCAAAAAAATATCAGAGCCAGGGTGATATGTTATAGAAAAACTGAAAGAATGGGTTATACAATGTTTACCTATGCGGTAAATGTATTCTATACAAGTCATTTTCAATAGAAACATGACATGATGATACATTCAGCACCAAGGACATAACCACATACATATATAACACTTAATGTAACATGAATTGTCCTGCCTTTTGTACTTAGATGAAGCTATTGCTAAGAAGTGCCCTTACAGTACCTCTACTTCCTTAGAGGAATCAGTTGTCATTGGCTGCTCACTCTTCACTGTTGCCGGGACTGACTGGAGCATCTCTCGCACAAAGTCAACCTGGCCAAACATGGCCGCCACATGAAGAGCAGTCATTCCAGTCTGAGGATCAAAGCACACAATACAGCAAGTTAAAATCAAAAGCAATAATCAATATTATTAAAGCAACTTCTTATGGTTGCAAGTACAAGTACTACGTAAATCTAGAATGCTGTAGGAAAAAAGACATGTACATTGTCAAGGATATTCACAGGTAAAACAAAAAGATGTAACTACCAGGTTTTACCTGACACAATTATTTGTGTTAGCACCATACATGCTGATACATGTATGTCAGAGAAACACTAAAAGAATGCCTCTGAATGGGTTATACATTTCTATCATGATATGTATTTTATACAAGTCATTTTGAACAAAAAATCTTGCTGATGTTGATAATACATTCAGCACCAAGGGCATAACCACACATACAAGAATGGACTGCTAATTGTACTTTAAAGCTTGCAAAAACAATTCAGAATCATACTGATTCCTTTCCCACCTTTGTACTGGGAGTCTTGAGGTCAGCTGCCCCTCGGAGTGAGTCCAGCACGTTGGTGTGGTCCGACTTGGCGGCGAGGTGAATGGGGGTCATGCCCTCTCCATTCTCATCAGTGGCAGAGGCGCCGTTGTCAGCAAGGGTCTTCACCACCTCCTTGTGCCCACCTTCAGCTGCCAGGTGGAGAGGAGTGGAGGCGTTGATCTGCCAAAGAGAGATGTGTTCAAAGAATTGCAGAAAGCTCCATGGCCACTCATGGAAGGAAACACACACACTCAGGTACATTTCTTGTTTCATAAGTAGCCTAGGATAACTTACTGCCAAAACAACTGGCTTACGGCTTTCTTATTGGCTCCCACACTAACTCAATAAAGAGGATTTTCCTTCAAGTTTGCATTCTACATACAAGTTATATCTCTGACTTGCATTTGTAACTACACCATTAAAAGAATCCTGGCACTTTACTGACAGTACCTTGTTCCTTGCTGAGCAGACCCCAACTCTGTCAAACTTCAGCAGCTCTTTGATCACAGCCACACTACCCTTGAAGGCAGCAATGTGGGCACAGGTGTTCCCTTCCTACACAGGAGAAACAGAAAGTTCCAAATATCAACAGAATTGCAAGGTTAGGCAAACTACAGGATACAGTCTAGATTGTAATGTTACATGTATATCATTAAGATGAAAGCCATTATTATTATACTGGGTGTAATAATGTTATCTATTTTCATAAATCTAACACAAGAAATCACAACTTGATATTGATTTGTAGGCTGAGACATACTGCATTAGCCATGTTGACCAGCTCTGGCTTGTAGTTTAAGAACATCTGCACAACTTCAGAGTGGTCATTCTCTGCTGCCAGATGGAAGGGTAGTTTGTCCATGCTGGTTAGAAATTAGGTAACAATAAATGGTTATTACTCATAGTCATAAATTGACCAATTAATTTTGGTGATGAAAGCAAGCAACCTGCTAAAGTCCAGTAGTGCTAACATTGCTAACAAATTCCAGTCTCCGAGCTGCTTACCGTATCCACAAAGTTGGCGTCTGCCTTCATGTCCAGCAAAGTCTTACAGACTGACAGCTGACCATTCTGGGCTGCCATGTGGAGGGGTGTTCTCTTGGCCTGGAAAACAAGCAAAATTATTAACAATTACCATGAAATAAAAAAAATATTCCTAAAATATGTTTTTTTTTTTCATTTGAAGTACACACAGTTGAATACTTCAGATGGGATGTCATCCTAAAATATGCGAACACAATACTCTTTTTAGAAGTGCTACATGTATGCACGTAAGTCATAACATTGTACATTCAGGATTTTGTGCAGGCATCCTGAAGATTACAACTCTTCCTTACCAGTGTCAGAGCATCTAAGGTTGCCCCATGTGTTTCGATCAGGAGTTTGACCAGTTCAACATAGCCATTCATGGCTGCCAGGTGCAGGGGAGTGATGCCCATCTTGGACTTGGCATTGACGAAGGCCTTGTGCCACAGGAGCACATCCGACACCTCCATATGGCCGTTCTCGGCAGCAAGATGGAGGGCCGCTTTTCCATGCTGGAGACAAAATATGATTTAAACTTACATTCGAATTTAAAACTTTTGAAGTGAAATCATGAGTATGCAAAAGAATGAAAATATTTATTCATGTTTTATATTACATATACATGGTTTTTATTTGTCTCATTGATATGGTACAGAGTGGCAAGACTGTCAGGACTGGTTCTACACATACCTCATCAAAGACATCCACTCTGGCATGGTTCTGTAGCAGGATCTTCACAATAGACAGGTGACCCTGCTCACTGGCCACCAGCAGTGGGGACCAGCCATTCTGAAAACAAGAAGATTGACCTTTACCATCACAGGAAACCAGCTACGTGAAAACAGAAATCATGAGATACTACATTAAGGACTGAATATATTCAATGTTAACTGTACAATTATAGTTTCACAGACTCCAATATAATTCCTGTACATTACAGTGTACATGTAAGTTAGTGTATATGACAAACCTTGGCCTGTTTGTTGACAGCATGTTGCACCTTGTGAGCCCCTATGTTCTTGACCATCTCCTGTAGAACATCTTCATTCCCGGCTCGGGCGCAGTAGTGCATCGGAGTCTCCTGGGTCTGTGGGATGAAGAAAGTGTACAATCTAATTACTAAAGGAGGACTAGGATTTAATACCTAAAACAAGTAAGCTTAAAGGATTGTTTCATTTGTCACTTGTATTTGCTATTACATGTAGACAAGACAAAGAAAAGAGCCATACCAGTTTGGTTGCCATATTGACATCACCATCATACTCCAGTAACATCTGCATGATACGGATATCCTCCCCCTCAAAGTGACACATGTCCTTAGTGGTCTCTGCTCCATAGTGCACAGGAGTTTCACCTTCCTGTAATATGTAACAACACAGTTATATCAACTATATGCACATACGTTGTAGAAATTACATATGTGTAGCAAAACTGGCCAATACACAACTTTTGTATAATTCGTATGGGTCTGAGAAAAATGTCATACTTTTACAATTTTACCCTTAAAATGACCAGTCTTTACGATGCCAGAATGTAACTTTTGGCAGTTTGTTTGTTTGTTTGTTTGTTTATTTAAATGCAACAGTGCATAACAAGTGGTAAACGTGGTAAACTCTCCCAAGAAGCCCTGGAACTAGCCTATTTCACGCTTATTCGTCCTAAGCTGGAATATGCTTCCATCCTACTAACTTTTGGCAGTTGGTAATACTATCAACATTACATGTACATGATCATTGTTTTTACCCAATGGCATCTGAAAATAGGTTAACTCAAAAGTAATCTATTATATAATTTTTTTTTCAAATCAAGAATGATAACAGTAGATGTACATGTACATACATTTGTTTGTGTGTTGATACAGATAACAGCATCCACCCGAGTCTTCTCATTGACCAGGAAGTTGATGATGGCACTGACCAACTCCCAGTGGCAGTACCGCACAGCAATGTGCAATGGATTTTCTCCCATCTACACAAAATCAGAACGCTAAAATGAATTTCTGCAACAAGTTGCATGTAACACTACAAAGTCCATACATACTCCATGGTTAATACAATGCTTGTCCGGACACAATACTGAAAAAAGTGTTTGCTAATTTAATCGATAAATTATACAGATTAGTCAAATATTTCAGTCTAAGCTAGTTTGTTAGTTTAATCTTTATTGCCACTTCCCACTTGATAGAAAACAACTTTCCCAGTCCTCTGATCAGATACCCAGGTGACACAGTACCGCCTGTGTTGCCACTGTATAAAAGGCTACTACATGTATGCCCTTCCAACCTAAAGTTTTAGATCAGTTTCCTTGCTCCCCGTCCCCGGCTCACCTTTGACTGCATCATCAGGTCCCCTCCGTCCTCCATCAGGGCCTGCATCATCTTGATGTTACCATGGCGAGCAGCGATGTGCAGGGCTGTCTCTCCGTCCTGGAACAGATGCAAGGCAAGTTTTTTTTTCAGTTTTTTTTTTTCTTGGTTTTTCCAATTTCTTGTGTTGGAAATTACAGTAAAGCATGCTTCATAGAAACTTCAGTTAAGTTTTTTTCATTAACTCATCAACATTTTAGTCATACCGGAGCACATCAAGTTTTCACCGGTACCTCTCAGATCAAGTAAAATAGTGACTGTCATATTTCACTCATACACATGCAAATTATATTGTTTGACTCCTGAATTAAAGTTTGGCACCAAATTTGTTGAATGCAAGGATTACCAACTACAACATATCAGCATGACCTATCCAGGACAAGCGAAATACCAGTTCAGCACCAAGGACAGGTACATGATGTACAGCACTTTTTTATATAGATTGTCAGCAAATGTTCAAAATACTTACAGTAAGGCCACAGCAATTTAATTTCTTGGTTAACGGATTCGCCGCTTCATTTTTTTCTGATTTGCAAATAAAAATAAAAATTCAGAATCAACTGCAAAATGCTCATACAAATGTATTTTGCCCTGAACAGTTGAAAACAGTCCTTTTCTTCCTAGTTGTTACAATTATTCCATATTTCAATGCAGTGGTATCATTAAAAGTTCAAAATTCATTGTTTAAATTTTGAACCAGCCTGGTGTGTTGACTTCATGGCTCCTATCGTACCATTTTGGGCCATAATAGGATGCCTAGGCCTGTTTTTATTTATTTTTTTTTTCGCCCGCCCGCTCCATTATTTTAATAGAAAAATCCGTTAACCAAGAAATTAAATTGGTGTGGCCTAAAGGGAGAGAAAACAGCAGGAAGTTGTGTGTACACGTAACATGTGCACATGTTACTGACTGAGTGTACATTCTCACCTCTTGCGGTGCATTGACCTCCGCCCCAGACTTGAGAAGCATCTCTGCCACCTTGTCTCCTTCCTTCACACGAGCTGCGATGTGGAGGGGAGTCTCCAGATTCTGGAACAGTGTAGGTACATTGTGTATGCAGAAAAGACCATTTCAAGCCCTGCTGTGACACTCATAAAACAGAGTGGGCCATGCTAACAAACATGCTCTAATTCCTCTATAATGGCAATATTTCATTGAGGTGTGCACACTCACCTTTCCTCCTCGGATGCCAACTTGAGCACCAAACCCCAGCAGTGTCTGTACCACCATGGGCTTACAGAACTGCACAGCTATGTGTAGGGCTGTGTAGTTGTCCTGGCAAAATGACATGTACCATGATCATTCATGATGTTGATGAGGTTATACACAAAGGCATGCTAGATATCAGTGAGAGCAATTATTTGAATTATTGAAACAAATGCCGCAAGATCTACTGTAAACAAATCATGAATTATGAAATCATGAAATGATTTTTTATACTCATTCTGTACAATCGCAAGATATTATCATCATTAAATAAAATTACTTGACATTCACATTTTTGGTAGTTAATATATGGTTATGAATCCTACAGAAAAATTCAGAATTTCTCAGTTCACCTTTGTCCTTGCATCCACCACTGCACCCTTCTGTAGCAGGGCCTTCACTACTGCAGTGTGACCTCTCTTGGCTGCAGCATGTAAGCACACTGCACCAGCCTAAACAAAACAGTTTTCATTAATCAATTTTCATTTTTGGAAAAAAGAAGGCAAATCAATAGAAATGTTGATGTCTGAGAAGAGAAAAAGAGCTCAATTTTTTTAAACAGATGATGTTGATCCGTGCAACTAATGTTATACAGTAATAAAGTTAATGTTATATTCTCCTACCTTGTTAGGCATGTGAAGTGGAACTCCTTTCTTCAGGAAGGTGAGGGCTGTCTCAGGGTGACCACATTGGGAGGCTATGTGCATCAGAGTGCTGCCATCCTATGAAGAGACAAAGAACATAGAGGATTACTGTAAACAATGATTATGTTTAGGTAAAGACAGCAACTTTGACGCATCCCGCAATTTAATGGAAGCGGTTTTGAAGTCATTATATTAACAACATAACTTTGTGTTTTTTATACTGTTTTATGACCTTAACCCGTTTTATCAACTGAGGACAAATTCAAAGACTTCTAAACATTCAAACATAAAATCCCATCTTAGGGTGTCAAATGCTTGAACATCTGAAGTCCTACCTTCGTCCTTGCCAAGACAGAGGCCTTGAATTTGTCCACCAACACCTCCACCACGTTAGTCTGGCCTTTCTCTGCAGAGATGTGCAGCGGGGATCTGTCCAGCTGGGGAGAAGGGTGGAATATATAGAAAGTTGACTTGAATGTTGTGGTCAACAATGTTGCAAGCCTGCATTGCTACTTTCTTGAGGTTTGATATCATCATATGCCACCTCCATTAGTGTTTACTGAAGCATCAGATTCTAGACATAAAACAAACAAGGATGAAAACTACATTGCTCAGTATCTGACCTTGTCCACGATATTGGCATCAGCCTTTGCTGTCTGTAGGTATTTGATCATCGCCTCATCTCCCTCAAATGCTGCAATGTGTAGCGCTGTGTGACCCTCCTCCTGCATGGTGACACAGCAATAATTAGTATCAAATATAAGTTAAAAATGCATGTTTACATAAAGGGCAGCAAAAAACAGATCTTAATCACTGGCACAGTATCCTACTTTCAAGGTAAGGCAGAAGATAGCATACAACAGCACAATACTTACGTTTTGTGCATTAACGTTGGCCCCATTGTCCAGAAACAGTTTGGCCAGCTCCTGGTCCTTCCTGCGGCAGGCCATGTGCAGCAGGTAGTCTCCATTATCCTACAGGGACAAACAGGAGGGGAATTTAATAACCATTAGAAAAAAAGATCCACTCCAGACAGTACAAAAAAAACATCAATTTCACTGCTCTGTAATACACCTTCTCACCACTAGGTGGCACTGCTTACCTTCCTTTGCATGTTGACCTGCTGTTCTGTGTACTGAGACAACAGCTCTTTGCAGACAGCGAAGTTTCCTGCTTCCGTAGACAGGAAAATTGGAATATTTCCTTCCTGGATCAACAGACAAAGAAACAAGGTGGACTTGTGGTGAGGGTTGTTGACTAGGGACATCCTCTTGGATGGGGCGTAAAACTGCACATTTACGATCCCATCACACTGATAAAAAGAGACTAGGGTCCTTTCCAGAGTAAGTGGATCAATCCTTTGACTGCTGAGTCTGCCTCTATGCAACTTGTACTTACTATCAGTAAAAAACTGGTGTCGCTGGAATTTTAAAACCCACCTTGTCCTGCACCAGCCGTCCCTCCTTCCCAGACACCTTCAGAAGCATCTGTACCACATTTATGGCTCCACTGGGTCTGGTTGCTGCTGTGTGGAGAGGCAACTGTTCTTTTTGCTGTAAGAACCAAAAAGTGAGAATTAATGTATGTACAAAAATGTAGGAGCTATTGCAAACTTTTTCAACAGTTACTTGTTTTGCACAATACTATATAAAATTCACAATCGACTCATGTATACATCATGCATATCAGAATTTAGGTCAGAATGTATCGGTGAGTAGCCTAGGACACTTTGAGGTTCAAAGGAAGAATATAGTCAATCATCCAACAAAGTCCACAATATAATTGTACATTAAACACTGGTCACTTCAATTTTGGAATGTCACTTTCCAAATTTGCAGACGGCCATGTTGAAATCCCTGATTTTCAACTTTGCCATTTCTGCAGGTACAGTAAATTTTTACATACCATTTGAAAGATCATGTTATCCTCAGTACCAGGTTATTTTTTTATGGTCAAAACATACATATTTGTCAAGATATTTCACTTTAAAAATTGCAATCCCGTCGGTGTACAAGCCACACCGACGGGATCAGAAGCCCACCCCGGTCGGGAGTAAACTCTACCCCGTCGGGGTGGAAAACCACCCCGTACCCAGACCGCATCCAATTATCCTCATGAACACCCCATGAAAACCACTGAATTAATGAGAATTCACATCTTCACACCAGTGTAATTAGCAAGTTTGTGTGATAATTCATGAGAAGTCTGGGCTCAAAGGTTACCCCGACGGGGTTGAACAGCCCCGTTGGTGTGTTGAACAGCCCCGTCGGTGTGTCAGGTTGAACAGGCTGGGCTAATGGCCTAAGCCTTCAGACCAGACTGAAAGTAATTTCCCAATGAAGTTTTAAAAATTAACATTAAACTTGCTTCTAGGTTGATGGCGGTTTATACACAGTTTATTATATCACTTCATTATTGTAGTTCTGTGTGTATTCCTGCAGTTTTTCTAGACTGTATTTTCCAGGATTATGAAAGAACATTGTCTTCAAAGATACAAATGAGTCATGGATATCTCTGACATGGCAGGAATGGATATGATTGACCAG